CTAGTGGTGATGAAATAGATAGTAATTTCCATAGGAGGAGGGATCAGTGCAAGCTGTTCGTCAGTGAAGGCAGCGCGGTAGCTGGAATCGAGCGAGCGCAGGTGAGCGATAAAGTCAGCAGAGCGCTCAAACGTGACGAGGTCAGGAAAAAGGAACGGGAGGAACAGTCGACCAAGAGAGACAGTGGTGGGAGTAGCGTAGCGGGCCTTGATCGCAGTCAGGAACTCACTAGCTGTGCGAACCTGAGTGAAGTGGGCCTCCTCAGACTTAGGGAGGAGGCTGCTGAGGGCGACGCAGGTCAGAACGCTGGCGGGCATAACGAACTCTGTGTGCATCGCTAGGGTTAGTGCCTAAGGGTGCAATATCGTCGGGCTTAGGAAGGTCGCCATAAGCGTGCGCCCACAGAGACTCATCTGCCTGAACCTGACTCTTTAAAAGGCGGCGTGCATGCAGGAGCCAGACGAAGAACTCAAGCGGCCTACCCTCGGCGTCAAAGCGCAAAACCCTAGGGGTTGCCATAGCGGCAGCGAAGGGGTGGGAACTGCTGTTGCCGAAACCCTAAACGCCTGGAGGGCCTGCGTAGAGCGTGACAGACAGTGCGGCGCGATGGACGGGCAGAGCGCACGAGGCGCAACCGACGAGCAGGGCGCACGGGGCGCCACGGACGGGCTGGGCGCACGGGGCGCGTCTGACGGGCAGGGCGCAGCGGGGGCGCGACGGACGGGCAGGGCGCAGCGGGGGCGCGACGGACGGGCTGGACGCACGGGGTGCGACGGACGGGCAGGGCGCACGGGGCGCAACGGACGGGCAGGGCGCATGGGGCGCATGCAACGGGACGGGACGGGAAGCGCGCTGCGGACGGGACGGGACGGGACAGACGGCGCGACGCGGCAGGACAGCACGACGCAACGGGACAGCAGGGACAGGCGCGACGCGACTGGACAGCAGGGGGCGACGCGACGGGACAGCAGGGACGACGGGACGGGACGGGACAGCAGGGGGTACGGGACGGGACGGGACAGCAGGAGGGACGGGACGGGACGGGACAGCAGGGGGGACGGGACGGGACAGCAGGGGGGACTGGACGGGACAGCAGGGGGGGACGGGACGGGACGGGACAGCAGGGGCGACGCGACGGCAGGCGCAGCGGGCGCTAGGGCACGAGAGAGACGAGCGCGATAAGCGCTAGGGGCGTAACGAGCGCTAGGGTACATGACTGGCTCGGGCGCTACGGACGTGAAGGAGAGAAACGAGATACCATGTCCTAACCTAGGTGATACCATGTCAAGAATGAAAGTGTTTTGACTAAGGTTGGTTGGGGTACACAAACCTAACCCTAATAGTTGTACCCCCTATAACACACATCACTAAGACTACAACATTTGATAGGCTAGTACATATGGAGCAAGCAAAAAAAAAAAAAAAAAAAACACTGGTGTTGAATGAATGCAAGTTCCTTGTCACAGCTGGAGGCTGGCTGATTGATTATGGTTGTTTTTATCCATTCCCACTATGTGCATGCATGACATCACACCAGCTCTCCTCATTTTGTTTTATTAGTCATAATTCTTAGGCATCATTGCAAGTCTCCCATTCTTTGTGAAGATGTATGGTCACGTGATTGTTTAATCCAGCATTCTTTTGTACAGCTCGTAGTAAGCGAAAGAGAGCTTATCGAAGCGGATATGGAACGTGAAATTCAAATTTAAAAAATCTGCTGGAAGTGGAATACTCGGCGGCGCATTGTACGTGAGGAGATCCCAAACCGTGCCCAGCACGAAATGCATGCAGTCACTGATTCTCCTCTTAGCACATGTTTTGGAACGAAAGATGGATGCTCTGTTCTCCCTCCACCATGCCTCGGTGTGCTTCATCCGCAACCTCAACACACTACTACGTAGCCATCCTCCTAACCCGCAAAGCCGTTCTTCCCCACAGAAATTAGTCCACGTAGACTTTGCGCGTCTATAGACCCTATTTTCTTCCCGTCTTGTGACTATTGAAATGTTAGTCACTGGTTCTACAATCTCGCTTAACAACTTGACAATCATCCTTTGAACCCGAAAGACATCTCTTTTCGTGCCTAGCAATTGTCTCTCGTCGGTGGTGATTATGTCGCGTCTGTTGAAAGCCCAGCGGTCGCTCCCCGGTAACTGTGTCAGAATCCCAGTCACTAACCACTGGGATAAAAGGGCTTGTTTGCGTAGCGGATGAGTGCGCCCATAACCCCCCAAGCCAACGTGCATGTAACCCTTCCCTAGGATCAATCGGGGATCACCGGTGGACCTCTGACACCCCCCCGCACTGGGATGCCCGAAGTGCACACACTGGGATTCGAACCCAATACCTTCACTCTGATAACATGGCAGAATCCCATCCACTAACCACTGGAATAAAAGGGCTTGTTTGTGTAGCGGGTGAGTGCGCCCATAACCCCCCAAGCCAACGTGCTTGTAACCCTTCCCTAGGATCAATCGGGGATCATCAGTGGACCTTTGACAAACTGGTTCGCCAATAGTTACAACGTGGCGAAGGGTAACGACGCCGCGAAGACCTTGAGCGATCAGATGGACACAACTTTGTCCACTGGAGATGCAAGGAACGAGACGGAGCGGACGGACGAGAGGGAGGGGGGGAACGGGTGGGAGTGGAGGCTCGAACTGAAGAAAGCGCGGAAAGCTTTAGCGGAGGCAAAACGGCGGGAGGAGGAGCTGGAAGGAGTGTTGAGGGAGGGCGAGAGGGCGATGGGCGAGCTGGAGGAGTGGATTGGGCGCAAGGTGGGCACCATGTCGTTGCTGGCTGCCGAGCTTCATGAGGAGTGGCTGAAGGAAGCGGTGCTGTCTCGGGTCGATGGAGCGCTCATGGCGGATGGCGCGCCCTCGCATCCGATGATGATGATGGAGGTGAGTGCGCACAAACATGCTACGCCCACGTTAGGCCGCACCACGCCGCAGCATCATGCCATGCCATGCCATGCCAAGTTATGCGATGACATGTAATGCCCTACATCCATCTCACCATGCATGTCGCACGTGCAACCGGCCCATGCCTCCGTATATCCCTATTGGAAGACGGAGGATAGCGAACGACTTATGCCATTCCATGCCCTAGAATGCCTTATCCCCAACTGCAATGCACGCCATCCGACTCTCCTCTTGCCCGTCCATGCATAATACCTAGGCTTCTTCCAAGTGTACCCTTCTTCCTGATTCCCTCATCTCTCTCCCCGCCTCCCAACTCCCTCTTTCTCTTATATTGTCTTCCTCGCTCCATGCGATCGGCATCGCATTTCTCACCTGCCTATCTTCCCTCTTGCCCTGGAGCATGGCTTAATAGCTCCCGTTTGTTATATCCCACCACTCTCTGTGCGCCACACCCTTGCTTCCTTCCCCGCCTTATATACTTATGTCCGGCACCATCTGACAGGATCTGATAAGCCTCTTCCCCCTTCCCCAGCCCCTCATCCGCTCTTAAACTCTGCACTACTCATCACACTCCCTCCCTCCACTCCTCCTGTTCCTCATACCCTGAGCGGGGAGTCAGGCCTCAAACCGACCTGTCGTGTCCTGTCGTGCAAGCCAGGTTCGCAAACTCGAGCCTAGGGAACAATTTCTGCTCATCCTTCGCCCTTATTCCACCGCACACCCATCCCTCCCTAACCCCCTTCGTCGGATTACCCACGTGGCAGAATCTGGCGGCTCTGTCTGCCCATGCAGAGGCCATCCGTTCAATGGTGCAGGGAGTGAGGAAGCTGGCGTTCGGACTTGAAGTCTGGGCAGCTCACGCGGACAGAATGCAGGAGGAGAAAGAGGGAAGGGGAGAGAAGTCGCGGGAAAACGAGAACGAGGAGGAGGGGGAGGTGCAGGAGGAGAGGGTGAGGGACGAGGCGGAGGAAACGACGAAGGGAATGGATGAGCTGATGGGAGATGGACGTGTGGGTTCCGAGAACGAGACTTGGAAGCAAGGGTTGGGGGCAGAGCCAGGGTTCAAGCAAGAAGAGGGAGCGGGCGACGAGGCAGAGGAGGAGCACGAAAACGAAGCAGAGGGAGAGGGATGTAGGGGTACACGGTTAGCAGAGCAATGGGCAAAGCAAGGAGCAGAGCATGGCGCAGAGCAGAGGGCAGGGCAACGGGAAAGGCAAGGCCCAGAGCAAGGGGCAAGAAAAGGGGCAGAGCAGGGGGCAGAGCAAGGTGCAGAGCAGGGGGCAGAGCAATGGGCAGAGCAAGAGGCAGGGCAAGGGGCAGAACAAGGGGCAGAACAAGGGGCGGAGCAAGGGGCAGAACAAGGGGCAGAGAAAGGGGCGGAGCAAGGGGCAGAACAAGTGGCAGGGCAAGGGACAGGGGAGGGGCGACCGGCCGATGTGGAGAGACAGTCAATAAGGCAAGCGGTTGCAGGGGAGGTAGCCGTGCAAGAGGAGGTGTTTGACAATCTTTCCATGGTGCAGGTGAGCGGGACGAGGAGAGAGGGGCGACTGGGGGGTGGTTGTGAGAGGGGCGGTTGAGAGGAATCCGCGCATGAGGGAGTTGGCAACAGTCAACGCCCCCTTGAAAATGTGAGTGAGAAGCATCTGGCATGCCCAAAAAAACATCCCCTCTTGTCTTCCTGTGAGCGCACATAAGGGACCTTATATCAGGGACCCTCACCTGCTATTGCTACTTGCTTATGTTCTCTCTTGTTTCTGTCCGCCCTGCATTCCTTCATTTTCCTCCTGTTGACTCGCTTTTCCTCAACTTCAATCTCCTCCTTTCCCCTCCTCTGTTGCACGCCAAAGCTTACTACATTCCATTACAATTCTCCTCTTATCCACACCCAGCCATTCGTGACTGCATGTCCCTCCACGCTTGCCCTGATCTCAACCCTCCCCCATTCTCTCCTCGTTTTCCGCTCTTGCTTCCATCCACCCCTCCCCCATTCCGCCTCCGATCCACCCCAGCCATTCATTTCTGCCGTTCACAGTGCAGTTTGCAATGGGGAAGCGGGGGTGGATTCAGAAGGAGCGGTTACAACAAATGTGGAGGAGAGGCACCCACACAGGGGAGGAAAAGGGGGCCGGGCGGGGAGAGCAGGGGGAACACAAGTGAGGACAGCGCAGCAGTGGCCGCCGGTGGGTGGGAGAGCAAGCGAAGCAGAGGTGAGGGCACGGCTGCAGAGAAGGGTCAATAGTTCTCTGCACAGCGTCGGCCCCGAAAGGCTGGAGACTGTCACCCGACAAATCAACAGGGTGGTCTCTCAGCTCGCATCCCAAGACCCAGCTGCAACAGAGATCTCCCCACCACCACCAACGAACGTGTGTTCCTGCGCTGAGGGAGCAGGCTGCTTGTGCAGCATCTCAGTTGTGTTCCTGCGCTGAGGGAGCTGGATCTGGGGTGCAACAACATGCAGCATGCGTGGCTGCTGCCGGTCCTGGAAGGGAAGAAGGTGACTTGGCTTAGGGTAGGGGGCTGCGGCTTCATGGAACGGACGTTGCGTGGGCTTCCACGGGCTTGGATCGAGATTGACTCAATATGGGATGATGATTGATGTGGGGATGCATGCATAGTATGAATTATCTCGCATGGGGTGTGAAAGGTCATGCATGTGACTGGGTTAGATTGTATTGTATGGTGCTTTAGTGGTGATAAGAGCGCCACGTTGAATGATCAGCACAAAAAATGGTACTCGTGGTGTTGACCATTGCCCAATTTCTGCACACAGTTGCATCAACCCATCATTCCATCGGTCCCTCAGACCACAAACTACTGTCAAACAATCCTGTGGTGCTGTTCTCCCCACCAACGAACGCCCTCTCCCTCTCCACGCGCGGGCTGGCTTGGGAATCATCGGGCCCGTCATCAGCGCAGTACTGGGCCAGCAGGCCATGCAGGCGGCGGGCAACATCGCGCATGGAGGGGCGGCGGGAGGCGGGCATCTTGAGACAGTCCAGCGCCACGTCTGCGAGATCGACGATGGCTTCATCTGGAGCATCCAGCATGGGGTCCTTGAGCTCTCCCAGCTCGTACTGCTGCACCTTCTGCGCTGCCTGCAGGATGAGAGAAGGGGGAAGTGAGGGAGGAGTAAGCGAGGGCACAGAGGGCATGATTTTGAGCTTCCAGCGTGGGGTCCTTGAGTACTCCCAGCTCGTACTGCTGCACCTTCTGTGCTGCCTGCAGCATGGACCAAGAGGGTGGAACAAGTGAGAAGTTGTACTTGTTTAGGTGAGTGGAGACGTGAGGGATGAAAGAGGAAACGAAGCGAGGTCACAGAGGGGGATGCTCTATGGATGAGAGACGAATGGCCAGCATTCAACAGTGCGTAGCATGCATAGACCAACTCCACTGTGTTGCCTGCTTGCACGCTCGACTCACCCACTCGCTGATGTGGCTGTCGGTGCCCTCCACTGCTGCCCTGCGCCCCGTCAGCAGCTCGAGCAGCACCACCCCGAAGCTGCACGTGCGTGCACAGGGGGATGAGGGGGGCAAGGGGGGGGTGGGAGTGTGGGGGGGTGGCAACGGGGGAGTGGGAGTGGGAGTGGGGGGGGGATGGCAAAGGGGAGTGGGCAAAAATGGGCAGCAACCTCGTCAGCTGCTGCAGTAGCACCACGCTGAAGCTGCACGCACAGGAGCACGCCAGGGGATGCAGGAGATGTCAAAGATGGTATGGTAGCAAAGCAACACAAGGCTATTGGGTGGCTGTGGATACTCCTCACTACATATCTTTGATAGGACAGTTGACATGACAGCAGGGAAGCGGCTGCATTGCAATAAGCAGCGAAGCAAGAAGTTTTGGCCGTTTCAAGACGGAACTACAGCAAATCGGTGCAAGAGTGGATGAAACGCTTTTGTGGCACCCCATGTGCTCGATTACGATGAGCTGCAGGTAGCCTGCAGATACGTTATTGAAGCCCCTTATACACCACTGCAACGGGTGTACCTGTAAACCTCACTCTTCTCCGACACCACGTGGGTGCGGTTGTAGTCCGGGGATGAGTCAGAAAGACTCTAACAGAGTATTAAGGGGCGCACCTGTAGACATCACTTTTCTCCGACACCACGTGGGTGCGGTTGTAATCCGGATCCAAGTAGCCCGGGGATGATGAGTCAGAAAGACCCTACCAGAGCCTCAAGGGGCGCACCTGTAGACGTCACTCTTCTCCGACACCACGTGCGTGCGGTTGTAATCCGGATCCAGGTACCCCGGCGTGCCTGCCACGCGCGTGCGCTCGTCGCCCCCGTCAGCATGGCTGAGCAGCTTGAGCAGCCCAAAGTCGGCGATCTTGGCGAGGTTGTGCTCCCCCACCAGGATGTTTCCCGGCTTGAGGTCGCGGTGGATGATGGGCGTCATGAAGCTGTGCAGGTAGGCCACTCCCTCCGCTGCCCCCGCTGCCAGCTTCAACCTCTGCTGCAAGGTCAGTGGGGCTGGAGAGGGGAGAGAAGGGTGGGACACGAGAGAGGGAGACGAGAGTGAGAAGAGAGTGGGGAGCGATAAGGGGGGAAGTAAGGGTGCAGCTTGAGCAGGCCAAAGTCTGTGCTCCCCCACGAGGATGTTCCCTGGCTCGAGGCCACGGGCGAAGCTGTGCAGGTAGGCCACTCCCTCCGCTGCCCCCGCTGCTAGTTTCAGCCTCTGCTGCAAGGAGAGAGGGGCTGGGGAGGAGCGAGAATGGTTGGAGGAGAGAGAGACAAGAGTGAGAAGAGAGGGGGGAAAGCGGCAAGGGGAAAAAAGGGGGAGGGATTTAATACACTATTCGGGGATTGGACATGAGTGAAAAAAAAAAGGAAGATCGTCGAGTTGTGCTGCGATGTGGGTGGGGTGTGAAGAGGAGGTGACAGAAATAAGAGATTGTGTTGGGAAATGTGCGGCACGGTGTGTTGACACGACAGGGCAGTAGCGGCACGACAAGCCAAGCCGAAAGCGGAAAGCAGTTGCCATAGAAGTTACAAGGGACATGGTGTTAGTGTTAGCCCTCAATCTCACACTTTGTACTTTGTATTTTCTATATCCTAGAGTAGTATAGCTTGCACATTGTGTTTGGTTGGGTGTACACCTACATCCCAACCAAACCCAAATGTAATCTCCAAGCAATCTCCAACCCACCAATTGGAGATTGCCTTGGGATTACCCCCAATCCTTAGGGATTGCCCCCGATTCCCTTCCCCATCCATTCCCTACCCTTCTTGGATGTACTTAAAGAGCTTCAAGCTCATTACTAATGCATCGCTTCTAAGCCTAAGTTCTAACACATGGTACGAGGGGGACTCACAGTTGGAGTGGTGGATGTGGTGCTTGAGGCCCCCATGGGGCACGTACTCGTACACCAACACCTGCTCTCAATCCTGCTCTCCATGCACAGGGCAAGGTCCATTACACTCAGGGCACGAAGGAACCTTCCGCACTCACACTTGGAGTGGTGGATGTGGTGCTTGAGGCCCCCATTGGGCACATACTCGTACACCAGCACCTGCTTCCAATCCTGCTGTCCACCCAGGCTATGGCCTATACACCCAGGGCACAGAGCGATGTGGTGCTTGAAGTCCCCATTTGAACATACCGCAGCAGGGCAGCGCACATCATGCAACCGAGGGACTCACAGTTGGAGTGGTGGATGTGGTGCTTGAGGCCCCCATGGGGCACGTACTCGTACACCAACACCTGCTCCTGCCGCCCGCTCTCCACGCTCTGGTGCAGGCAGAAGCCCAGCAGCCGCACCACGTTCTCATGCCGCAGCGACGCCATCGCCCGCACCTGCCACGCACAGGGGCAGGGGGGGAAGGTGAAGGTTACGTCTACCATGTTGCAGTGGTCTAGGTGAGGTTGACTTGGATGAGAAGCGAGCATTGCTGAAGAGCACGGGCTAATCCAGGAGAAAATAAGGAAACACCAAAATACCAAGTAACATGAAAGGAGGAAGTAGAACAAAACCTGTTGACTGTTGACGCCCAAACAGCAACAGAGAAAGCATGAATAGAAGCATGCCCCCAGTTAAGTCGGAGGGGTTTCAACTGCAGCATGGATTCCCCAGTGTTGACCAACTCCGCAAGCTCATTCCCCCCACCTCATTCTCGAAGTCGTTGGACATGAGGCTGATGCGCTTGACAGCCCAGAGCTCGCCAGTGGGTGCCACGCCCTTGTAGACCGTGGCGGAGCCCCCCTTCCCCACCACGTTGGCGCTCGCCCAGTTGTCGGTGGCGCGCAGGATGTCTGCCATGCTGAACTCGCGACACACGTCCAGGCCACTCCACCTCCCTGGTGGACAGAGCGTGACATGGATGAGAGATGGCATGAGAGGGAGTGTGTGAGAGACCATGAGAAAGAGAAAGTCTGAGAGAATGAAGGAGAGAATGTGGGGGAATGTGGGTAAGAGGAGGATGGGATTGGAGGAGAGGAAGCAATGTGGAGAGGAAGGAACTGAGGGAGGAAGGGGTGGGAGAGGAAGGGATGGGGAAGAGAGGGATGGGAGGAAGAAGGGGCGAGGGGATGAAGGGATGGGGGAAGGAAGGTATGATTGAAGGGAGGACGAGGGGAGAGGGAAATGTGGTGGGGGGAAGGGACAATAAAAGGACAGGACATTGAAAGAAAAGGAAATCAGAAGGAAAGGACTGACTGCGCTGTCTGGGCCAGATCACGGCGACGATGAGCGCGAGGAGGAGCGCAAGAGCAGCTGCAGAGCCCACGGCGATGCCCACCAGTGCACCGGTGGAGAGAGCTGGCGGGGATGGGATGGATGGAGAGGGTAGAGTGGAGCCGTATTAAGGGGGAGGGTCGAGAACATGTGGCAAAAGAGGCAGACAGAAGATGAGACTCCACTTGAAACCCATGACTTGTGACCCACGCTGGTAGATATGGAGAGAGATACTCCATTCTCCCCATTTTCTCCATCCTAGTTGGGGCACATGCGTGCGGATAAATGCATAAAGTTTGTCCGAAACCAGGTCTCCCACGTCACCGAATCCATTATGCCGTGTGAGTGCAGGCTAAAGCCACAGGCTGCGTGATAAAAGTGTAGTTTTGAGACGTCTCAAAACTACACTTTTATCACGTGGCCATAAGGTTTGTCCGAAACCAGGTCTCCCACGTCACCGAATCCATTATGCCGTGTGAGTGCAGGCTAAAGCCACAGGCTGCAGCAACAAGCGCCATGTCTACCACTCTAGACCAGACGCCGCAGAGCAGGGGTTGACTCATGCACTTGCTGGGAAACACCAACGCAGCTGCTGCTGCCAGTGACAGCGACATCTACACACCAACTTTGTGAGCCTTCAGTTGCATTTTGCTGGCTCAGGCTGAGAAAGCGTTCGTTTGTCATGTCACCATTTTCAAGCTTGCTTTTCACATTCTGTGGTGCTGATGTGTCGCTTTGCAGTGACGCCCCGACCATGCTCTTTCACAATTAACACACCACGCACACCGAATGACATACACACCACATGCCATGAACACCACATGCTATGCACACCAAATGCCATGAACACCACATGCCATGCACACCAAATGCCATGCACACCACATGCCATACACACCACATGCCATGCACACCAAATGCCATGCACACCACATGCCATACACACCACATGCCACGCACACCACATGCCATGCACACCACATGCCATACACACCACATGCCACGCACACCACATGCCATGCACACCACATGCCATACACACCACATGCCACGCACACCACATGCCATGCTCACCACATGCCTTACACACCACATGCCACGCACACCACATGCCATGCTCACCACATGCCTTACACACCACATGCCACGCACACCACATGCCATGCTCACCACATGCCTTACACACCACATGCCATACTCACCACATGCCATGCACACCACATGTCATGTCACCCATCCACATCACGTGCTATCCACACCACATGCCATACTCACCACATGCCTTACACACCACATGCCACGCACACCACATGCCATGCTCACCACATGCCTTACACACCACATGCCATACTCACCACATGCCTTACACACCACATGCCACGCACACCACATGCCATGCTCACCACATGCCTTACACACCACATGCCATGCTCACCACATGCCTTACACACCACATGCCATACTCACCACATGCCATGCACACCACATGTCATGTCACCCATCCACATCACGTGCTATCCACACCACATGCCATACGCACCACATGGCATCTGCACATACCACAATGTACCACAATGTACCACAATGTACCACAATGAACCTCAATGTACCTCAATGTACCTCAAGTCTCCCCTTAGTGCACATACATACATGAAGGGGGCGCCGGGGTCGGGGGAGTACATGTGGGTCCAGAGCTGCCGTTCACCGCCACGTACCCCTCCTCGCACTCACACACGAACCCCACCTCCCCCAGATCCACCTCCCCCGGCCCTGCCGTCTGCACCGCTGGCACACATGCGCTGTGCCCATCACACGTCCCCAGATCGTTCGACAAGCTGCAGAAGCCACGGCACTCGGCAGCGCTGCGCTGCGTCTCATTCGCCGCGCAGCTCTGCAGCTCGCCCACACTGAAGCAGTTGCCCCGCAGGCTCGCTTGGCCTTGCTTGTTGGCAGCCGAGCGTTCAAAGACAAGAGTCGTAAAATCATTGAGTGCACAGCGGCCACTTCCACCATTTGTGAGGCTAACCAAATCCAAAGCACGGGTTTGGTTGATTTCCGAAGGGCAGAACTGGCAGCCGTCTGCGAAGAGCAGGGGCTGACCGTAGAAGTAGTTGCGTGCAATGTTGAGCAGCGCACCCCTGTTGGGAATCATGCCGCGGAAGTTGGTGTTCATTGGGCCATAGAAGCTGTTGTTGCTGATGTCACTGGGGATGGTGGCGTTAGGGATGGGGAATGACACGAGTGAGGTATGTGCTTGGCATGTTTGACCCTCTCCCAACAGCTCATGGCTCCAGCCAGCTGGGCTGCTGTGGACAAAAACGTTCCAAGAGTATAACACAAACACAAGGAAAGCACAAACATTCAAGCGCCATGCGGTGCAAGCTGTGCTCACATGCGGTGCAAGCAGTGTTGATACAGACACGAGGGGAACTCTCCGTAGAAGCTGTTGTTATGGAGGAACCTGAGGGGGTTGGGAAGCGGTTGCTATGGAGGAATCTGAGGGGGGTATGACAATTGACGGGACGCTCTTGAAACTGCAACGCGGAAATGAGCCGTGGTGATGTAAGACCGCGAAGTGGTTTAACCACTCCCCCAAAGTACTCTGAGCTGCTTGAAAATCAAAAGCATCCCTTTCCTGAGCCAATTAAAAAACACGCAAAATAAACAATTTGCTTTGTGCGGCTTACATGCATGGTATGCATCTGTGTGGGGCTTACATGGTATGCATCTGTGTGAGGTTGCAAATGGAGGACGGTAGCTTGCCCGTGAGCTGGTTGTCATGCACCAACCTGCCCCCATGCATGCAGCAGCAGTCGTTTCATGATGATGGGTTGAGAGGAGGTATAAAGGTAAACATTCAACGCCCTCTCCAAGGGCACAAGAGCAAAGCATCCGTCAGTCAGTGATCACATGTGAGCAAAACCCTCGCACGAGCATTGCTGGCATGGACACTCATGGTAGCACAGCACACCAGCTTTGGAGTGCCATGAGTGGCATGAGTGGCATGAGTGGCATGAGTGGCATGAGTGGCATGAGTGGCATGAGTGGCATGAGTGGCATGAGTGGCATGAGTGGCATGAGTGGCATGAGTGGCATGAGTGGCATGAGTGGCATGAGTGGCATGAGTGGCATGAGTGGCATGAGTGGCATGAGTGGCATGAGTGGCATGAGTGGCATGAGTGGCATGAGTGGCATGAGTGAGTGGCATGAGTGGCATGAGTGGCATGAGTGGCATGAGTGGCATGAGTGGCATGAGTGGCAGGCATGAGTGGCATGAGTGGCATGAGTGGCATGAGTGGCATGAGTGGCATGAGTGGCATGAGTGGCATGAGTGGCATGAGTGGCATGAGTGGCATGAGTGGCATGAGTGGCATGAGTGGCATGAGTGGCATGAGTGGCATGAGTGGCATGAGTGGCATGAGTGGCATGAGTGGCATGAGTGGCATGAGTGGCATGAGTGGCATGAGTGGCATGAGTGGCATGAGTGGCATGAGTGGCATGAGTGGCATGAGTGGCATGAGTGGCATGAGTGGCATGAGTGGCATGAGTGGCATGAGTTGTATGAGTGGCATGAGTGGTATGAGTGGCATGAGTTGTATGAGTGGCATGAGTTGTATGAGTGGCATGAGTTGTATGAGTGGCATGAGTGGTATGAGTGGCATGAGTTGTATGAGTGGCATGAGTGGTATGAGTGGCATGAGTTGTATGAGTGGCATGAGTGGCATGAGTGGCATGAGTGGCATGAGTGGCATGAGTGGCATGAGTGGCATGAGTGGCATGAGTGGCATGAGTGGCATGAGTGGTATGAGTGGCATGAGTGGCATGAGTGGCATGAGTGGCATGAGTGGCATGAGTGGCATGAGTGGCATGAGTGGTATGAGTGGCATGAGTGGCATGAGTGGCATGAGTGGCATGAGTGGTATGAGTGGCATGAGTGGCATGAGTGGTATGAGTGGCATGAGTGGCATGAGTGGCATGAGTGGTATGAGTGGCATGAGTGGCATGAGTGGCATGAGTGGTATGAGTGGCATGAGTGGCATGAGTGGCATGAGTGGCATGAGTGGCATAGTGGCATGAGTGGCATGAGTGGCATGAGTGGCATGAGTGGCATGAGTGGCATGAGTGGCATGAGTTGCATGAGTGGAATGAGTGGCATGAGTGGCATGAGTGGCATGAGTGGCATGAATGGCTTGCTTGTGAATGCAGGGGCCTGCATGGGCATGCTTGGGGATGCATGGGGATGCATGAGCATGCGTGCATATGCATCATGATTACAAGACAGAGAGTTTGGAGAGAGCCCCCAAGGTAGAAGGCAATGACCCCGAGATGCTGTTGGAAGACAGGTCTCTGTGAAGAGATGGGATGGGTGACAAGATAAGATACACCTGGCACGTGATGATCTAGCAATGGACAACTCTTCAAGCTAGGCTTGAGCAAGGAAACGAACGATTGTTCGGTTCGCCTCGATTTTTTTTTGGCAAAAATTGTTCGTGGCGAACGTCTTCGGTGTTGGCCCGAACACGTTCGCCGTTCGCCTCGGTACTGCTGGCCGAGCCGCGTCGAACACGAACGCGTTCGTCGACGAATTGACCCGCGACCTGTTTTTTGGGTCGCGGGTCTTTGTGTTTGAGCTCATTTTTTTAGCTCAAACTAGTCGCGACCTTAGCGACAGCCCCCTAACGCCCGCCACCGCCCTTACCTAGGAGTAATAGGAGTCTACATACTCCATCTTAGAATCTTTTTGAGTACATTACCTATTACTAGAATGGAGGAACCATGAAAAACGTGAGGTCTAAATACATAGCAAACGTTTAGGGTTTGGACCGGTCCATGCACAAAGAGGTGCTGAAATCTGTCCGTGCGATTAGACGTAGGGAGACTCTACACGTGATTAATGGGACATTAGTACCCATTAGTCGCATTCGCGTCACTCGCGACTATAGTAAAGGTTGACCCTGGGCGAACACGAACGTGTTTGACTCGAACACGTTCGTGTTCGCCTGTGTCTGCAAGGTGTTCGCCTTTTCAGGCGAACGCCGAAAACCTTTTTCTGCAAAAGGTGTTCGGCGAACCGAACAGTGTTCGTGCAGGGGCGAACGCGAACACGTTCGTGTTCGCCCCCTTGCTCAAGCCTACTTCAAACTCCCAGTGTGAAAACAAGAAGAGGGTTACTAACTGAAGTGCTGGTAAGCGGGAAGAGATGCGGAGCACATTACAAGGCTTCAAGGTTTGGTAGAGCAGCGAGCAGAGCTGACGGAATGGTCCCTGAGAGCTGGTTGTTGCGCAAGGATCTGCAGGATTGGTGGGTGGTGGATGGTGGATGGTTTATAATTAAGAAAGACGAGAGACAGCCACGAATAGTGTGTCCTTCCATTGGATAAAATCCATTTCAATTGAAGTTCAACTGGATGATTGCTTGCCTGTGAATGGCCCGCAGCAGTGAAGCACAGTTTTGAGTCGACTCATAACATAATTGAAGTTGCTCTTAGACAAGGACTATTGCGGTTCCTATAAATCTCAATCCGCCCACGGTCACTCCAGAAACTCGACATCCAAAGCTCAGCTCGTTCGTGGCTTTCCCAAGCCAAACCGCGACCCGGAATTCCGCTCATACCTAGTGCAATTATCATTTCGGTCTGGAATTTGGTTCTTTCTTTCCAGCAAAATACAAACATATGAGTGAGCCAAAGCAGGCATAATATGCTCGTATACTATGCCATTACACGCGCCGCATACAATCAAGCTTGCTCACTCACATGACAGATACAGACGTAAGTACACTGATGGACTCCCCAATGGACCCTGTGAAGCGGTTCTCGCCTAGAAGCCTGCGATTGAAAGGGTTGAACGGAAATACTGGATCCATCACGTGACACGTTGTAGACGGAACTGTCCTACCCTTGTGACTGGTATTAGCTCGCTCATGGTTTTTAGATGGAGAGACAGCAGGTGCATGGGATTAAAGAAGATAATAAAGCCGAGCCGACCAATGGAGGATGCCTCTAGTAGGAAAGAGGATCTAATCCAGATCACGGGAAAGAACATAAGATTGAATAGCGATCTTTTGGATTAGGTGGGACAGATAGTAGAACGTGAAGGCGACCAGTCACAAAGTTGGGCCCTAGCCTTGCACTTAATCAGCACGGGCACGCATGGCAGTGCAACTTACAGCCTGTCAATGGATGTGTTCCATTGAGCGAAATCAGGAAGAGGGCCCGATAGCTGATTGCCTTGAATGTTCCTGGCAAGCAGATAGTTTATACAGAACAAACAAGTGTAGTTGTACAAGCGTATTTTGATGTGGTACGAAAGAACCCGTTTTTCTAGATCAAATTATTCAAAATGGTCAAATCATACAAGAGGGTCAGACCCCCAGTAGACAATCTCCTGGGTAGACTTCCACTCAGATTGTTGTACTCCAAATTCCTGAGGGTAGCAGCAATGTGTGAAGCAGGCGACGCAAGCCATAGAAAGGGACCAAAGAGGCGAAGTGAACGAGTGCCTCCCAGGTGGGAGTGGGCAACGTGTACAGTTACAATGCTACTACTGCATGGTGCAGTCTAAGAAGTAGTGGATACAGTCCCACTCTAAGAAACAACCAAGCGTTCCTTAAGTCCCACAGAAAGTTGGCCCAGAAAAGCACACTTATGGGAGACATGGGATGGATGGGGCGAGGACGACGAGAGAACAAGCGACGAAGGCAGGAGGAAGCAGCGGCAGCGAGCATATGGCCCTCAAGCCCTCAAGCTCTCTCTCACAGTTCGTCTAGTGGGAGTGAGTAGAGTGCCAATGGAGCTTCGCCGTGAAAGTTATTTGGACCAAGTGTCCTGTTGCAGAAAAGCGGAGAGGGAGGAATGTGGGTGAGGTGGGAAGTACCTTGGTGACTTCTCTTAGCACAATGCAACATGCACGAGAACGTGTGCTGTGCATGTGGTGTAGCCACTCATGTGTGTGTGTGCAACCACTCATGACATGAGGTAGTTCCCTAATGTGGCGTTGCATACGATACATACAGCAATAAACTCTCAGAGGGGGCTAGATTCAACTCTGTTTTCACATGTCCCCTCGTCACAGTGCCACTCCTTCAAGAGATGTCACGAACTACCATGCATGCATCCCAACTCGTGCTGCTCAACAAATCAATGTCTAGGAGTATTTGCCAATCAACACAGGCAGTTGCCTCACATGTACAACGCAAGCTCATTCTATGTGAGCTTCTCGTAAAAACTAAAGGGCATAGACTGCAAGTGGGACAGAAGACCTTGATGTGGTTGTCATTGGAACTTGGACGGATAAACAAGCACAAATTATTGTAATGAGGAGACTCCAAGACTCCGAACAAACAGGTTCACTTGGAATTATTGTACACCCAACAAAGCTGTGTACATGCACACTACACTACTACACTGGCCTGGCAAAGTATATTATTGTTTCCTACCATTCTTATTCGAATGGTCCATTAGACAACGGCAGGCAGATACACACAACACTAGTGAAAAGGGTACAAACATAATAAGGCAGCAAAACTGAAAACTTTTCACCATCCTTGCTCACTTACGTACCTGCTTATCTTGACACAGCCCTCTCGACACTAACCGACTTTGCTCGTGTGAACAGTCATGGCAAATCGTAGAGCTGAGCTTGCGTTGAGCTGGTGAAGCAAGTGGACTCACAATGATATCATGTTTGTCAGTCGAGAAATCTCATGGGGAATCGTTCCATCGAATGCATTCCGACCAATGTCTCTGCAAAATAACATGCACCCATGTGTGTGTGCACCCATGCGGTGCGTCTAGTGAGAGGGTTGCTGCATCGTGAGCAGCAAAGTTTGGCAAACGGAACAGAGCATCCAAAGACCAACAAGTACGTACGTAGGATTAGCGCTGCGGTTTCAAAGCTACAGAGGAAACCCCAGAGGAGATGGTTATGCTAGATTATGCTGTCAACACATTGTGTACTATATTTTATATCGCGTAGGTTATTTGTAGGTTGGGTGTAGATTTGTCATCCCAGCCTTATCTGGTTGGGATTCCCCGTAATCCAACCAATCTGTCAACTCACCATTGGAGATTTGGTTGGATTCCCATCCCATCCATTCCCTAGCCTTGACCAACCCAACTCTGTTTGTACCTAGCGACTTCTTTCTTTATAAGTCACTTCAAGCTCCATTTCTAACAGGTTATTCCAAAATGAAGTAAGACGGATGGAGGTTTGGGTAATTCCATTCCATGCGCTTCACATGTTCTTTTTCAAACAAAGCAGCTGATGACGCTATGGGGCCCTGAATGAATACCGACGTTTGTTCAACATAGCACCAGGATGCAGGATTCACAATAACAAAACAAGCAGCCATGAGAGGCTTACAAATATCCAAGTCCGGTGAGGGTCAGAAGAACAGAAGGGAATGGTCCACTGAATTTGTTGGCACCGAGACCCCTGCAGCATCATCAGGATATGGGGCACAGCAACAAGAAGGAACAACGCGAATTGACCTGACCCGACCCCATCTGGGTGTGGCAGACCTGAGCCGGATCCAAATCCACTGCTTCCTTGACCCGACCCGGATCTAGGGTGGTCAGGTAGGAAGTGAATCAAACTAAAATTGGGTGGAATCCAACCCAATTCAGGTTTGATACGTGTTACTTACTGCAAATTTTTTTTTTTTTAGAGAATGTTAACAGTATTGCATTGGAAATTGTGGACACCTCAAATCAAATAACGATGAGTCACAAAAAGCAAGATGAAAAGAGGTAGTTCACTCGCAAGCATGTCGAGATTTAAAGGCACAATGAGAGAAGTCCGATTGCAAATCATCCCCTACAACCCTTACAGCTCACGTGCATCATCCCGTCTAGCATAGAACGACCCGATGTCAAGACAGGTCGGCTGGATCTACTGAAAACCAGAAAATGAGAAGTTTGGTCTTGGTTCGACCCATTTCGAGATTAAAATACCAGCCTGACCCGTCACGACTCACACCTGTGACCAGACCCGGTCAAAAAGAGGGCCAACCTGACCCGTCACTCCTGCCTACTAAGAACACTTGCAGGACAAATGGAAGCTACCAGTGAAATGATGAGTGACTCACAACATCGAAAGTGTAGGCAGAGATAACAGACTCGATAAACCACTTGAAAACATGTTGTATGAGATATCCCTGCAATGACATGTGACAGCAAGCGTGCATTCAACTTCCGTAGTTGTTGTTGGCAAAAATTCGATTCAGTTCGACGGAAAACGACTGGCCGCTTGCACAAACATGAAAAGGTTTGTGTTCCACCCACACCTTCACACCACCTTCGTGTTTCAACAACAGCTTCGCACTGGCAAACTGGCAAGTAAACCAATGTGCACCCTTGCTCTAAGGGCTGACAGACAGCATGGAAATGAGGTTATGTTACTTATTTCATACATAACCTGTTTCAGCCCTTTTTTCATGACGACATCATGAGTTCTCTTAACAGTACACATCCAATACTGGAAGCGTCTGTATTGAGGCACTCACAATGATACCAGCCATGTCATTTTGCCGATGACATCAAGCCCCGAACTTAGCTGGTTGAAATAGGGCGCCCTGAAGCAATGTTAACACACAGAACAGAACAACACAGTTATAAATTATTTGGGACCACCACATTGTACTGGGCTCTTGCCAGAGAACAGAAGAACAAAAACAATAACAGCAAACAAACGAAAAGTGTGCGTGCGTGCGTGCGTGCGTGCGTGCGTGCGCGTGCGTGTGTGTGTGTGTGTGTGTGTGTGTGTGTGTGTGTGTGTGTGTGTGTGTGTGTGTGTGTGTGTGTGTGTGTGTGTGTGTGTGTGTTTTAGCAGAACCTCAGGACCCATGAGAGGCCAGCCATCCTTACCATTCTTGCAGATTGATGAGGTTCGTGAAAGAAGGAGGTACATTCCCCATGAAGTTGTTATGATCTAAGTTCCTTGAGGCACAACAATTCAACACATCACAAACTTCAGATGCACAAACACGAGCAAGTGCCCATTAAAGGGGAAAACCATAGTAGTGAAGCACAGCAAGCACTTATATCCTTTCGCGAAACAGGAGAGACTAATACCTATGACTTACAGAGTTGAGAGGGCAGAGAGGGTACCAATGAAGGGAGGAATGACTCCAGAAAAGCTGTTTCTTGCAACGTCACTAGGGGCAAAAAGGGGAGAAAGGCACTCAGAAAGTTCAGATGAGAGTGTATTTTAATCATCCCATGACAAGCTAGACTTATTTGGTGGGGTTAGACGCACAGATGGCAATGTTACCACTGTAGTTAAGCCAGCCCATCTCTTTGGACAGCCCCGGGCCAGCATGTCCTGTTGATGCTTCTCAACCAAAGTCAGCCCAGTCTCATCCTTACAGCAACGTTCGTAGCTTGGGTAATCAGGTGCTTGGGTACAGTGATGTGATCACCAGAAAGATACAACCCAACATTAATAAATTTGGTGAGCCCCGGTCAGGTCAGGTTTGCACCGCACCTATTCCCCCATACAAGGAGCAAGACCAAAGGAGTGCAAGCGGGAGTGTCACGGATGTGTGCAGTACAGGTAGTTGAGAGTGGTGTAGAAAACGGGCGGGATAGTGCCGTCCATGCTATTGAAAGTTAAGATCCTGCATCATGGTTCACGGAAAGAAGGCCGTTATATTACATGTGTACGAGGAGATGAATGGATCCCAAGACAGGCATGTGGCAACAATGAAGAAGCGGACACTAGGATGATCATGTGGCCCAAACGGGATGATTATCCACTACCCTACCCATGTCGACACGAGCAGGAAAGTGTGCCATGTACGCTTGTGTAGCCCTGCATGAGCCGGGGTTCATGGCGGGCTTGGCAGGCTCATCACGCAGTTGAGGGAGCATAATCGTTCCCTCCAGCTCATGAGGAGATATTGATATAGTATTTCATATAATATATTTGCACGCAAACTCTGTGTGTAAGTACCTGGCCAACGTGTGCTGTGATATGTTTGCAAAGTGTTCGTGAATCGCGAGATTCACCTGCTCGCATGGATGCTGCGTTCTGTTGTTTTTCTTGTAACACACCATAATCTCAAATCTAAGCGGAACTGGTGTTCCCCTCCCTTCAGCAAACAAAGAAATCCAGGCAGCCAAGTGAAGAGTGACTTGCAAGTCGAGTGACTCGACTAGACTGTCAGGCCTGGCTCAAGTTTTGAAGTCAAGCACAAACAGACTGCCAAAGAGAACCTCCAGTTTGACATAAATAAAGCTAAACTATACAGCAGCTGCCTGTTTGACGAAACGAAGTGGACCTTCAACCACTGCCATGCGGTGCATGTAGTTGATTCTGCCAGGCAGAAACATATGCTAACGACGGCGGCGTTGCAGCCCTTATGAATTCCCCTGAATTTTGGGGGAACAGCAGCATCGTAGGCGAAAAATGTTTGACGTTTAAGAAAGGAACCATGAATGGCTTAGCGTGGGATAATATTCTGTGGGTGAAATTGACGAACCAAATGTGTGGTTCGACCGACCGTTGTTGCGAGCCACATTGCGTTGATCAAAGCCACGAGATAAGAGACTCGAGAGACTCAAGCTGCAGCCCAGCTAAGACTGTGGCTGTAGCTCGGCCATGTATCTGACATAGAGGCATTACACAAACACAACTATCTAGTCAGTGGTGATGCGAAAGCAGCATTCCATCTACACATTATCCCTCCCAATAGACGAGGCAAAGCAGCCACTACCTTTCGTTCGATAAAACTGTTTTTGCTACACCAACGAAAGCCTTGCCTTGAAAATCAAAACATTGGATGAAAATCTAATCACTGGATGTCTTGAAATGGTCATAAGAACTTACAGTGTGCTCAACGTCGTTAGGCCAGAAAACGTTGATGGAATGGAGCCTTCAAATTTGTTATAGCCAAGCGATCTGTAGTCATTCAAACACACATGGGTGGAAACATGGTGCACCATGACTTAGAAAAAATAAGAAAAAAACAAACAGGAAAAAAAAAAAGTGGTGGGCTCATTCGAATCAGATTTTACGAGTAAGATCAGCAAGTAGTCGTAAGGAGTGTGAGTAGAATGGTAAGCGACGAGAAATAACCAAAAGTAGCTGCTGGAACCTGAACATGAGGCGCACGCACAGGTAGGTAAGATGCTTCAAGGAGGTCCAGTAATCGGGAAGAGCTCCACCCAGCCCATTGCCTGATGCATCACTGCCACACCACTCAAGGATGAGACGGAAGCACACACTTTTTTTTTTTTTTTTTAATTGGGGCGAAATACATGATACAATGCATACATCCACAGTCGTAACTGAGAGCAAGGAAGGTACATGCAGACACATGGTTGTCTATCATGACCCCCCTGTGCCGCCCTACGGCGGCTTGAAAAAGGTGCTAGGTCTCTCCCAGATCAATTGGAACTCCTTGTTCCACGTCAACAGCTCCTCGTCATCGCAGATGCGGTTCAGCGCCGCCACCTCCCCAGCTGACAGATGCTGCCACCTCCCTTTACCCTTATCCTCTCGTAGGCTCCCCATGCTGCGCCACCCCTCACTGTAGATCCGAACATGCCTCTTGATATTCACCCCAATCTTCCTAACCACCCGCTTGGGCGAAGCACACACTTTTGTTCACAGCGGTGAGGTTAACTATGCAGCTTAGTAAACAGTCAACATTATGCCATTCTTCACCGTTTCCCCGTTCCGCTCACATGAACATGAATCATTCATGATCTTCTAATGTGAAGTGCTCCAGACGACAAAGTAATGACCAAGCATCTCAATACCATCAATGCCATCATCTACAGTTCCACCCACCCCTGCCCGTGACCAGCAGCGACCCTGCTTGTATCTCTTCTAGAACTTCTCCTAAACCTGCCCCAGCCATATGCTCATATGCCTGCTACTCGTCCTCAACCTCACAGCGGTGTAACATCACAGCGGTGTAACATCACAGCGGTGTAACATCACTGTGGTGTAACATCAAAGCGGTGTAACATCACTGTGGTCTAACATCACAGCGGAGCGGTGTAACATCACAGCGGTGTAACATCACAGCGGTGTAACATCACAGCGGTGTAACATCACAGTGGTGTAAAATCACAGCGGTGTAACATCACAGCGGTGTAACATCACAGCGGTGTAACATCACAGCGGCGTAACATCACAGTGGTGTAACATCACAGTGGTGTAACATCACAGTGGTGTAACATCACAGCGGTGTAACATCACAGCGGTGTAACATCACAGAGGTGTAACATCACAGTGGTGTAACATCACAGTGGTGTAACATCACAGCGGTGTAACATCACAGTGGTGTAACATCACAGCGGTGTAACATCACAGCGGTGTAACATCACAGCGGTGTAACATCACAGCGGTGTAACATCACAGCGGTGTAACATCACAGTGGTGTAACATCACAGCGGTGTAACATCACAGCGGTGTAACATCACAGCGGTGTAACATCACAGTGGTGTAACATCACAGTGGTGTAACATCACAGCGGTGTAACATCACAGTGGTTTAACATCACAGTGGTGTAACATCACAGTGGTGTAGCAACTCACAAGTGCTCAAGGTGTACCAGGCGCGAGAGGTCTTGTGGCATCACTCCAGTGCGCAGCTTGGCATAATGAGCCGCGTCACTTGGAGGTGGTGGGCGGAGAGAGGAAAGCAGAATGCCAGAAAGATGAGATAGGGATTCTCTGAGGCGAGAGGAGAGTAGGGAAGGGGAGTGAAACGGAAAGATGAGGAGATGAGAGGAGACGAGGTATGCTGGGAAGACGGGATAGGAATTTGCAGAGGAAAAGAGAAGTACTCATACGTAGCAGTGCTTGAGAGGGTGTGCATGTGGGTGTTTGTGATTGTGCGCATGTTCTGCAAACGCTCATCTGCTGACTCTAGGGAAAAATGTATGTAGTACCAAGGTAATTCCAAAAAGGTAAGAGCAACGCAAGTGATTTCAAAGAATACTTAAGTTTGGAAAATAATACTCTCAGCGGCACATGCATGCGTACAGAAATCGTAGATTTGTCAGGTCCAAGGACCATCGAGGAAACACGGTCGTTCGCAGACCGCTTACGTCCCTGAAGCATGCGAACATGAATGTACATGGGTGGGGATACTAGGAGCTGGCATATCTTGTGATGCTTGGAAGGAAGTATGTATGGAAGTCCAATGGATGGGACAAGATGAAAAGGCCTCACAGATGTGAGGCTGCAAATAGATACATGTGTGCAGGTGAAAGCACAAGAAGTGCATCCATACAAAGGTTGGCATAAAATGCAGCAAAGATATTTGCAAAACAACTGAGGACAGGTTAGATAGAGAGCAAACATTTGAACAGGGGCAGTCTGGGAGAACACAACGGCATATGAGCATGCCTCGCTCCATCTTCACAAGCACGAGCAACACGTGGTGGGTAGGTGGGATGCCATCTCCTAATGCTGTCTCACAAGGTCGAAACACAAAAGCCACCCAGCTAAGAGGATTTTAACCACCGCTGCTAGCTTTCCAGCCCAATGCATTTCCTGAACCAGCGCATAGCCAGCTCGGAGGGTACGTTATTTATTCTAGCATGTTACAGACAGTGTTTATTTTATGATGGCACAAGCGTTTTTCTACTGTATACATGCAATGGCGAGAAGAGGGTATGGATTTTCTCCTGCACTACCATGCCACAAGCCGATTTCTTACGATACGTACAGAACCGCTCAAACATGCCGTCAATGTGAGCGAAACACAGTGGCAGGCACTAGTCCCCCAGCGCATTCAGTGCTTACTCCTATTGGAGCACTCAATGACTGCAAGGGATCGAGCTTAAAGCTAAGCCCAGGGGTTTTGTGGAAGTCGGCTAAAGGTACCCATGAGCAGGGTACACTGTTGCATTGCTTACTCCACTCCACCCACGACTCGGCTCGGCTTGGCTTTGGCTCGGCCAGACCCGTTCGGCTCAGTTCTTGACTAATGTGGGATCGGTGATGACCCGTGGTAACGTAAAAACAGTTTATAGATTGAACCCAACTCAACTTCTTGGTGGTACCAAGATTCAACGGCCTTTCGGTCCCACTCAGATGAAGGTATCATGGAACTTCATGTCCATCTTGAGTTCAAGTCACAGTCGCTTCGGGGACCAGTCATCTGACTGTCCACATGCAAACCTCTACATACTTACATATGTAAGTATATATCTATGTTCAAACTTCAACCTCCGGAAACTTCATTCCACCGACGGTTCACGTTTCACTCCACCAGCCCATCTGAGTGAGGGAGGGTTCACATTTCAACCTCTCAGTCTCGAAGATGTCGTCAGACAGTGTTCTTTGTGTTATGTGGTACCCACGGTTCTAGCACACTGCATTGCCACAACATCTCGGCTGATTTGACTCGCCTCGAAGTAGGGAGGGGACTCAAATCGACTCGCCTCGTGATCATGTCTACTAAGAAATAGGTGTGCGGAGAGGTTTCCCTTGCATCAACTTTTACTTGAGTGCCGACTCACAGGTGGGTGAGAGCAGTTAGGGTGCCCAGCAAAGCAGGTAGCTCACCGGCCCAAGGGGCCCGCGCGATGGTGCTGCAAGGATGGGCGCAGCGCATGGGGGCATGGTGTAAGGCACAGACACTAAAAATCCTCCGTTGTCTGCTAAGGGCGGGTCCAACTTTGCACACTCCCGTTTTTTTCGTTATTTTTACGTCAATGCACTAGTCAAACTTGACTGTACCCCAGTGCGAACTCCAAACATTTCCTGTCCAGTTCCGAGTGCACAATTCAGACTTTTTACAAGGTACAGTAACGCTGTGGGGTACAGTACCTAGAATGAGGGGTTACCCAATAAAGCGAAGTTGTTCCTACCTGTGACAGAGGGTTGGCGAAAACAAATTAGCGAAACAAGGTGTTACCTTCTGGCGTGTTTGACGCGAAACGAGTTAGACGTGAACCTTCGGACGTGTTCTGCACGTCCCCGGGCACAATTTTGAAATGTCATCATATATGTACAGTCTCGCGTCTAATGGATTCTGGTACGTTTGAAGTTCTGTTACACGCTGAAATGTGGTAACTGAGCTGAAAATTTATTGTACATGTGCAAAGTTGGACCCGCCCTAACCATACATGATGATGGTAGGGGGCACATGATGATAGGGGGTTGGGTTTACATCTGTCAAACCACAAAACACAACGCATGAACGAGGATTTGCAATTCTCGAACCACTCTACAACGCAATTTTCCTTGGTCTTACGCGTGCGCACTACGCCAAGTGGAGCAGCGGGACTCACAGGCTTTGCATGGCTGTGAGGGCAGTGAGGAAGGTGAGGGCTGACAGATCTCCCTCCACACTGAGCATGCGATACATCACACTGGTGTGGTGCGGTGGGGTGCGGTGCACCAACGCAACCGCCATGCAGGGGAATGGAGTGAATCAACAGAGGCGGATGTCAAAAAGGGTGGTTAGTAGCAGGAAGAATTGTGTGTTGGCCAACTGACCCGCACCACCTGGGTGTCAGCCCAATCACAAAAAAACTTCTGAGTCGACTCAAAAGTCAACCCGCACCACCTGGGTGTCATCCCAATCACAAGATCTGCCAACCAACTAGCCCCACTTTTTGCCCACACCACGTGGGCGTCGTGAGACGGTGAGATTTCTCGGCTCGAGTCATGATGTCAGCAGCAATGCCCGCACCTGACAAAGCTTATTCTGCATCTAGTGACAATGATAGGTTAGCATGCTGTCATAAAGAAACGTATATTTTTGCAACGAACACACTCCACCTTCCACCTGAGAAGCTCGCAGCACATTTCTGCACGTTTAAGTTGCAAAGCAAGCCTGTGTAATATGTAATGTTGTTGGCTATGCCTGTGTGCCGAGATATTACAGGGTGGCATAGCACGCAGTACGTACAGCGTGTGTAGATTGGTGAGGCTTGAGATCCATGACATGTTCTCCACACGCCCAGTGATATTCTCTGCACCGATATTTCTGAGACCAAAAGCAGATGGGCATGTGTGCGTGCATGCGTGTGCGTGTGTGCGTGTGTGTGTGATACAGAATGGCAAAGTAGGCTTGAATCTTCTCCATACAGACCAATCTCAACCTCAACGCTCTCCTTGAGGAAGAGGATTGAAATAGATGGGTGGGGGGAGGGCCGGGGGGGGGGGGGGGGGGGGGGGGGCGGGGAAGGTAGGGGTGCTGGCGTGGAAAGAAAGAAAAGAGCGCAAATCTCTGACATTCTTCATACTAATAAACAAGTCCGGTAATTGTCAGAACTGGCATGGTGTGGATGGCAACGGATGGTTGGCAATATGGATGGCAGTGCTTGTTTTTGCACGCACACTTATGAGTTATGACTGTTGCAAAACAAAGTGATGGATGGATGGGAGTGGTAACGGACTGCTCTAGGCTTGTGACATAACGAGTTGTGATTGGAGAGGTTGTTGGTGATATTGTGGCCATGTGCGTGGAAGCATTAGGGGTGGGTGAAATCCTGTTGTGCAAGCAAAGCAAGAACATGGTGGCACAGCGACAAGTGAATGAGAGCATGGCAATCATCCAGCACATTCATGCAGGCGTGTGGGCATGCATGCACAACTGCAGCAGCCCATGGCATGGCATGGCACAGCAGTGACTGACAGGTATGTGAGTCGAGTCAGACGGCCGAGTGTGGATGGTAGGCTTCCGGAGATTGTAGTCATGTAAATATCTCTGATGGACACGGGGAGCGAACAAGTGAATAGCACCAAAATCACGAACGGATGCCACAAGGCTGCACGGGAGAAATCAATATTATCATATCGCCATCATTGGAGCTGACTCCTTCTTTGCAGAATAACATTTCTTTGCCACTCCACTGAGCTCTTTTCTTGAGCTCTTCTCTTGAATGGAACACAAAACACACGCAAAACAAGGGAGTCCAAAGGCTCACAGCAAGACGTACAGGTGTGAGAGAGCTGGGAGAGAAAGGATGGCAGATGGCAGGGAACCAGTCACCGATGTCCACGCAAGGTTCCTAGCAGTACAGGGATTTGCATCGCACCAAGAAGAAGGTGGGTGAGGGAGGAGGGGGATGGCCGATGAGGTATGGACAAGTGAAGCGAGGTATATATCGCACATAATATGAACGGTCAAGGGAAACTGGCGGAGGCTGGTGGGTGAAAAACACAAGCAGGGTGATGGATACACGAAAGGCAGGAATGGTGTGCGAAGTGAAGTCCCCTCATGGCTGTCAGATGGAGCAGCCATGCAGCAGACTTTTATGCTGCACAGCACACCAAAACATCCCACCTCCATCCATTCAGTCCTTAATAAGAAACCAGCTCTATTGGGAGGAAGCAGAGCGCATATAGACAAACGATGCAAGGAACTAGACGGATCACAAGGAGGAGTGTTGAGGGGAAGGCAGTCGTGGGGAAGGCATGTGGTGTGTGTGTGCCCCGCTTACAGCATGCAGAGGGAGGTGGGGCGAGCGAGGTGGGTGATGGAGCCTTGGAGAAAGATGTTGCTGGCGAGCACACTGGATGGGAGGACGGGGGAACGGAGGGGGGGGGGAGCGTGGGAAGGGGCGGGAGGAGAGTGGGAGGAGGGATGGAAGCAGGACTGAGGATGCAGAGGAGGTGCAGGCGCAGTGGAGAGCACGGCTTGCTTCCCATTTCGCACAGCACACCAACGCATCATGAGGTTCCGGGATGGTGTGACAACTTAGGCTGAAAGCGTGGGGCTATGGATGTATTTTCAGAGAGGAAGGAAAACAGGGATAAGTATTTTCAGTGCCTCCAGGACCAGGAGGGCTGCTGCTGCAGGGGACAGGAGCACGAGCGTTTGTTTGGAAGGTAAAGGACGGCGTGTGCCAAGCCAACCAGGCTGTCCCAGCCTTGTAATGTCCTTGACATGAAGTGGCGAGGAGAGAAGGAGGGCTAAAGTTGCATTAGGAAAAAACAATGAGACGCTACGAATTTCAAGGTGCCTCAAAACTCGTCTCATTTCACGCAGAAGGGACTCGGGTGGAGGCACGGACAGGGAAGCAGCGGTGCAGTGCAGACACACAAAAAGGGCGGCAGAGACGTACAGGCGTCGGAGGTAGGGCATGCGCGAGAAGAGGGTGAGAGGCATGGTGGCATTGACCATAGCGTACTCGGACAAGTCACTGCGGAAGGAGGCAGGGAGGGGTGTTGGTGCAACGAGAATGAAACATGGAGGATTTGTGAGCACGTGTGCATGCACACAAACTTCTGCCCCTTGCTAGTATCATCTCGCTTCCCCAAACGCCGCCTCTCTCTATTTACCGCTTTACCACAGCGCAATTACCTCCTCTCTCAATCCCACCGCCTTGCAGCAGAGCAACACACATGGAAGTGATGAAGCCGCGCTGGTTGCATGTGATGTACTCCCACTCGCTGCAGCCCCGCGAGGCATTGCCCCTCCCCTCCCACACCTGCCATGCCGCGTTCAGCTCCAACAACGCTTGCACTGATGCCGTGACACATGCATGCATGCACTCACACATGCATGCAGCCATGCACACATGCATGCACCCATCCATGCATGCACCGATCTCCACATGCACACTCACACATGCATTCATGCACACATGCACCCATGCCCGCATGCACACATGCACCCATGCGCATGCATGCATGCACACCCGCACACATGCGCCCATATAATGGACGTGCATGCACCCAGCGCCATGTCCCCATGGATGGAGTGCAAGCACGCAATCAGGGAGGCAGAAAGATGGGCGGGAGGAACATGCGTGGCTTGGGTGGAAACACACAAAGATGCTCGGCTTGGGAGTCATGGAAGTGCGAGAACTGTGACGTGCGAGGACTGTGACGTGCGAGAACTGTGACGTGCGAGGACTGTGACGTGCGAGGACTGTGACGTGCGAGGACTGTGACGACAACAGGGGGCTTAGGGTGGTGGGGAGAGAGGCTTTGAGGGGAGAGGCTTTGAGGGGAGAGGCTTTGAGGGGAGAGGCTTTGAGGGGAGAGGCTTTGAGGGGAGAGGCATTGAGGGGAAAACATTCAGGTAGACTGGTCTCAAGCAAGCAGCGCTTGGGATGCAGCGCCGCAGGGCGCAGGCGGCAGGCGGAAGCAACGCAACGTAGAGAGAGCGGCATAGCGAAGGGTGGGAGGAGCGAGCGGGGGCGCGCTCGCCTATCCACTGTTGGCCGTGCGTCTCCCGTTGCGGGCGTGCAAGAGCGCTCTCGGGAAGCTCAGAGGAGGCTTACGCTGAGTGTCCGCGAGAATTGCTCCAGCGGCGGATGCGCGCGGAGAAACAATGTCGGCGAGGCTGACGCGACGCCCATTCCGTTCACTGTGCGACCCGTGCGACCCATGCGACCCGCGCGACCCGTGCGACTGGGGCAAGTCGCCATGTTCGCGAAACGTCCGCTTCCCCTCCGCTGCACTGGCGCCGGCGTGCGGCGAAAGCACGAGGACTAGAAGCGCGGACGCGAGGAAGAACGGCGCGGGGCAACGGGCGAGCAGCAGGCCCGGGCTGGCGGAAGTCGACGGCGACAGTCGCCATGCCATGGCATTCCGTGAGTGTCACAATTCGATTCACCCCTGCAATTCAGCACCATTTCGGCCAATATAAGGTTTGGCTCGCCATCAAACTCTATGGGACCCTAAACGTGTACTTGTTGTCCTACGAAAATGTCTAGAACGAGGATAAAAAGGTTAGGTTCGAGTTTGGCGAGAACCTCCGGGTAATAGAGGTTAGGAAATGCGACGAGCCGTGCGGTGGCGACACGGAAGTGGTTCGGGGCGAAAACGTAGGCCGAACCTAGCTGACGCGATACGCTCGATATATCCCCGCCAAGGTCTGTCTACAGTGAGGGTTAAAAAATTCCTTACACTTCCTATGTACGTGTAAGTCGCCATTTGCACGAAAGCTCTACGACGCAAGACGACGAGTACGACATCATTTAGTGTTTGACGAAGTCACAAACGACTGACGACACATGTTACCAGCCACAGTCCAAACCATCGGTGGTTCGAACCATCAAGCGGCAAAATGGTGCCGTGCCCAAATTCCTTTACTACTCTTGGTGTCAGATCTCTTTGATGACCAAATTCTACCACTCACTTAGGCGCCGTGTGACAGACAACTCCCTCCGCGTATTTCTCTTCTCACTGTATTTCCGCTTGCCTAAGCCGCAGCGTGGGCCGTTTGCACGCCAAGACCAGTTGGCGTGATCCATTCATCACGGTCGTCATCGTGCTCCGCCTTCGCCTGCCACGCAAACTGTGGACGCTTGACCTCCGCGCACCTCGGCACACCTCGATCGCACACTCCTCCATCGCACACTCCTCGATCGCACACTCCACCATCGCACACTCCTCGATCGCAGACTCCTCCATCGCACACACCTCCTGCGACGTGTAGCTGCCTGTTAGTCCCGTGTTCCCCTCCGCCCTTCTCCGCGCACTCGCCTATCTGCGCCCTAATCTCTCCGCGCGCTCATCTCTCCGCGCCCTCATCTCCCCGCGCCCCCATCCCTCCGCGCCCTCATCTCTCCGCGCCCTCGCCTCTCTCGTTCATCGTCCGCCCCCGCTTGCTTCTCTTTCCCCCCTACCCCGTTTCTCCCCACCGCCTCTCCTCATTCCTTCTCCTACCTTCGCGCCTTTTCTTCCTTATTCCTGCTCTACTTTTTCCTCCCTCCCATCCACCTTGCATTCTCGCCCTCCCTCCCCCCCCTGCCCCCGACAATCCCTCCCATCCGTACCCCGCAACTCTACTCTGCCTACCCCCTCTGTGGGACCGCCCCATGCCTTCCTTGCCGCGCTTCTCGGATGTTTTTTCGTCCCGCCCCTCTCAACCGGCCCCTCTCCACCGGCCCCTCTCCACCTGCCCCTCTCCACCTGCCCCCTCTCCACCGGCCCCTCTCCACCCGTCCCTCTCCACCCTCCAATCCCTGCCAGCCTCTTCTTCCCCCTCCTCCCTCCCTACTTTCCTTCCCGCTCCCCGCTCTGTGCCTCCCCTCACCTCCACTCCTCTCCCCTTCGGTTCTCCCTTCACCTGTCCGTGCCATGGTGCCATCTGCAGCAGCACCCTTGGTGGGGGCAGGGCCAGGGTGAACCACGTGTCAGGGTCAGCCACGTGTCAGGGCCAGCCACGTGTCAGGGCCAACCACGTGTCAGGACCAGCCACGTTTCAGGACCAGCCACGTGTCAGGGCTAGCCACGTGTCAGGACCAGCCACGTGTCAGGGCCAGCCACGTGTCAGGACCAGCCATGTGTCGATCAAGTGCCAAGTCTTTTATCTTCCCTTCCTAGCTTCCCCTACTGCCTCTAACCCACTCGGTCTCCCCCACTCACTCTCCCGCTCTCCTTCTCCCCTCTCTCTCCCCCCCTCTCACCATCCTGCCTCCAGCAAGGGGGGCAGGGCCGTGCACGGCTGGTGGGCAGGAGGTCATTTCAACGCAGAGGTGTGGTGTGGCGCCACACTCGGCACAGGCAGCATGCAGCCTCAGGTGCGGCACTCGGTGGTTGCGTGTAACATGCAGCACTGGATTTGAGCGGGACTGATGGGAAGGGGAACAGATGGGAAGAGGGGCAGATGGGAAGGGGGGCAGATGGGAAGGGGGACAGATGGGAAGGGGGACAGACGGGAAGGGGGACAGATGGGAAGGGGGACAGATGGGAAGGGGGACAGATGGGAAGGGGGACAGATGGGAAGGGGGTGACGTCGCTTGGAAGTTACCTAAAAGAGTTGGAAATTATTTAGTTTCTGCTCATAAGAGTTAGTGTAGTGTAGTGTTTGTTACAGCTCTACAGTACAGCTTCTCCCTGGCCCAGCGAAGGAATGCCTCGCGTGGAGTCCTCAGGATTAGTATAATAGCTCTAGTTTGCTTCATTTTTCCCTTGTGGTCTGAAGAAGGCTATAAGCCGAAACCGGTTACCGCCAAAAATTTATCTACAAGAGATTTCAAGCAAACTTCTTAACTAACTACATTTTTTACAAGTTGATTCAGTCGCAGCCACGTAAAGACGTGGCTCCTATCTGGGGCTCCATTGGACTCTCCAGTCGCACACCGTCCCATCACGCCTTCAAGCACCGCCTCTCTCTCTCTCTCTCTCTCTCTCTCTCTCTCTCTCTCTCTCTCTCTCTCTCTCTCTCTCTCTCTCTCTCCGTGTCCATGTGAGCAGGCAGAAGGACCCAAGTACGCCCATCCGCAGGTGGTCTTCTTCACCTGCTTCTTCAAGGTCGTGTGTGCACTCGCTCACACATGCATACATGCGTCGTGCACTCACTCACTCACTCACTCACTCACACTCACATGCATACATGCGTCGTGCACTCACTCACTCACTCACACTGCACACCACATCCTCACAGCACCTGCTTCCGCAAGGTCGTGCACTCACCTGCCCACTCGCTCACACTGCATGCATGCCACATCCGCGCGCACATACATTCGCTCACACTATCCATAAATGCGCACTTGCGTAAATGTGCATGCCACTTCCTCACATCACGTGATTATAGATACACCACATTCGACCATGCTTTCCTCAACCAGCCCCCCCCCTCCCTGCCACCCACAGGCAGCCGCGTTGGGCTTGTACCTGCTGGGACGAGCAGCTTTGTGATCGACTTCGTGGTGTGCGTGCTGCTCATCGCGCTCGACTTCCTGTTCCCGCCAGGCACCAGCACTCCCTTGTCTCAACCCCACACCGCACCCCAACCCTCTTCCCCACAGGCGGCAGCCCTGGGCTTCTACTTACTGGGCAGCTGGTTCACGAGCAGCTTTGTGATTGACTTCGTGGTGTGCGTGCTGCTCATCGCGCTCGACTTCTGGGTGGTGAAGAACGTGAGTGGGCGCATCCTCGTGGGGCTGCGCTGGTGGAACGAGACCGACGAGGCCGGGGAGACGCTCTGGCACTTTGAGTCGCTCGACCAGGCCGTGAGTGGAGTGCGGTGGAAGGTGGTAGAAGATGGTGGAGGGTGGTGGGGTATGGCGGGGCGTGGTGCAGGGCAGGGTGTTGGATGTTGTGAGGGATCTCTGCTCAAGCTCTCTGTTCTGCCTGTTTCTCTCCTCACTCGCTGTATGTTCTGCTGTCTTCACTCTTTAATTTCCTCTCCTCGCTATATCTCTCCCTCTCCTCACTTCAAATTTATCTCTCTTCCATTCTCTCTCTCTCATCCCTCCCCTCCTCCCTCTCCTCCCTCTCATTCCTCACCTCCCTCTCCTCCTCCTCCTCCCCTCCTCCTTCTCCTCCCTCTCCCCCCTTTTCCCTCTGATCCCTCTCCTCCCTCTCTTTCCTCACATCCCTCTCATCCCTCTCCTCCCCTCCCTCCCTCTCCTCCCCCTCACCCCTCTCCTCCCTCTCCACCCTCTCCTCCGATTCTCTCTCTGCAGTCATTGGACCAGCTGAGCAAGACGGACGCATGGGTCTTCTGGTGGACACTCTATTGCACGGTACGGTAATGTGGTAACACAGCTTTCACTGCACAGTACGGTAATGTGGTAACACAGCTCTTACTGCCAATATGGTAACATGGTAGGAACTGCACAGTATGATAGTGCGGTAATTCACCTTGAATTTTTTTGAGCCCATTCGGAATCCACCTTGACAATTTTCGACAGTGTCATCCTGGGCCTTTTCTATTCCTACCCTTGGTGACCCCATGTGTGTGTGCATGTCGTTCTGCATGGTCTATGCATGCACGCATGTGTGTGTGCATATCCCACCGTGTGCGCGTGTGAGTGCATGCATGCATGTGTTTGGTTATGTGTGTGCGGGCCCATTTCTCTGTTCTGGCAACATGTGCATGTAACACGCATGTGACTGCCTGCCTGCCCTCCTGCCTGCCCTCCTGCATGCCCGCCTGCATGCCCTCCTGCATGCCCGCCTGCATGCCCTCCTGCATGCCCGCCTGCATGCCCTCCTGCATGCCCGCCTGCATGCACATGAGCAGCCAGCGTTATGGCTGGGGCTGGGGCTCATCCAGGTCATCCGGCTGAGCTTTGACTATCTGCTCATCATCATCGTGGCTCTTGTGCTCGGCGCTGCCAACATCTACGGCTACACCAAGTGCCGCCGAGGTGGGCCCCCGCCGATACGTTCCCCACCCCTGCTCCCCCCACCCCTGCTCACCCCACCCCTGCTCCCCCCACCCCTGCTCCCCCCACCCCTGCTCCCCCCACCCCTGCGCCCCCCACCCGTCCCCCCCCTCTGCAAATGCTCTTCCCCTTGCTGTATCTGCTGGCTCGATCATGCATGTGCGAGTATGTTACCAATTTTTATGCGCATGTCCAAGTGTGTATTTATTTCAATTGCTTCTGCATGGTATGGTATGTCCGATATGCATGTGTATGTGCATGCTCATATGCATGTTCTGTGTTTGTGTGTGGTTATGCATGAACATGCACAGATGCCAAGAAGCAGATCCAACAGTTTGCAGCACAGACCATGGCACAGAATTTCGCCTCTACGCTCACCTCTGCCCTCGCAGTCTGAAAAAACTTATTACATGCAACTCTGTGCCGGGCCAGGCCCGTGATGCTCTAGTAGAAATGAAGTTATGAGGTCTGTTTTAACCTAGGTTCTGGCCTGATCATGTGCTCTTGGGTACACTTTGTTTGGAAGTCTAGTGGATGTTTGTCGGCCGGACAATGGACTGTCATTATGCAGTAGGAGCTGGATAGGCATGCAGTGCATCTTGCGTGGCTGCTTGCTCAGTATACCACTCCGTATTATTTATATGTGTGTAAACTAGGAGATAAACGCCTCGTGGCTGCACATTTTCCAGTTTGACTGTAGCGATGCTCTCCGCCTCAAATCTTCGTCAAGCTCAAAATGAAAGTCTCCTCGAAGCGCACGGTCTTTGCGGCTCGTCAATTTCCAGAACCAGTGCACATTTTCGGAATTTGAGCTCGGGCGAAACAACTGCAAATTCTTGTTTCGTAAGCTCCGTCATCTGTCCATCCATAGCCTCATTCTCTTGGGGCATATATTTTCTTCGTCTAGCACATTCTGACAAGGTTGCTGAGCTAAAAACGACGACTGTAAGGGCTTCAGCATGACGGCGCGTCCAATATTCAGTAAACTTATGCTATGGGTACTACCTGTGCTAGTCTACGCAGCCTCGGTGGCAGATCATTGCTCTGCTGCGGCCAGACCTTGGCCGTCAAGAACTGCCCCAGTCACTGCAGTTGGAATTGCTAGGCGCTGGCAATGGCTGTCGGGCGTCAGCGCGCCTAGTGTCATCTTCTCTCCTACCTCTAGGTACGCTTTTCTGCTACGAAGCCTTCCTTTTGGCACATTACGTCATGCATTCATCATTTACTAACCTCGTCCAAATAGACACTACTAGATAAAACAACATACGGTACAACGCTACTACCGCTAGTAATTTGCTTTCAATCCCATTTTACATTCAACAGAAAACAGGCCTTCAACTACTGGAGCTACCTCCCTGGTGCTGCTCCCGCGCTGCTGCGTGAGATGCAGGCGGAGATGTTTTCTACAGCAGCAGCCCTGGGACTCGTAAGTAACGGCGAGAGGGGCAACTCTGGTAACCTGGACCTTTCACGAAACGCGCAGAGTCAGTTCAACACAGCCGTTCCGTCCTTCGGTATTCCTGGACTTAGTCTGCTCGGCAGACGGCTGCTTGAGCACCATGACGATGCAGGAAGTAAGTTTTATTCTTGTAAACATATAAAGCACGCATTTGGTTTGCTACCACCACAATGACGTTTTTCTTAGGCGGTCATTGTACACAAAGAACGCTCCCTTCTGGATCATCCTCCCTGCAGGAAAATTCGAGTCCATGCGGATCGCCGCAGCCCTCCAAGTGGTCACACGCGTGTTTGACAGCAGCAGCGCGACCAGCCGCAAGCAGGTGGGACCAAACGCGGGCATGGGTGCGTACGCGCAGAGCGGTAACATCGGCAGCATCAACAACCAAAACACCGTCAACGACCAAACCGCGGATGCCACCAAAACCGGGCCTGGCACTCCCGGCGTCATCGCGACGCCTTACTCGCAGTACCAGCGGCGGGGCGCGACGGCGTACCAGACCAACACGCAGTCGCAGACGGCGACGACCAATGCCATCACGCCCACGTACCAATTCGGGTCCACGTCAGCGACCAATACTATCACGGCCCTAGGCGGCGGAGGGGCCGGGTATGGCGGGTACGGTGGGCTGGGAGCTGTTGCGGCGAGCACAGGAGGGGCGCTCGGCACGCTGAGCAGCGCGGGGGTGCCGTTTGCGACGTCACTAATGTCGACGAATCCGACTGGCGATCCGATTGGCCAAGGGGTGAAGTGCGTGAGTCAATTTGACGGCGGCGGGTGCAGCGAGGAGGGGTTCCTGCCTGCGGCTCATGCGAGCGCAAGGCCCGTTGAGGTAATCTCTGAGCTTGGACCAGCAAGGACGTAGGAAGACTGGGGTTGCAGTGGAAACTCGGACCTTTACTGAGTAGGCTGTACAATACTTGTATGAATGATCTGTGTAGAGATCGCGATGCGAATATGAAGAACCTAGTGCTATATGATATAAACCCGAAGGCTCTCTTGCGTTGGTGAGCTAATGGCACGACGAAGCGCAAGGCTGGTCAGGACGGTTCCATGCTATCACCTCCTCGCTGTCGCCATAGCCCTCCCCAGTCGTCGCTTGCACCAGCGCCAACTGGGACCTCGCAAGGCTCGCTTCTAGTGCGGCGCTCTGTGACCGAGAATCTGCTAGCTTTCTTTGCGACAGAACGAGCTCGCCTGATAGGATGGCGACTTTCGCCTCGAGAGCCGCGATTGCTCGCCTGCTCGCAGACGCCTCGTCCACAGCCAACTGCACCTTAGCGTGCAACGCCGCCGCGATGTGTTCGTGTTGCGACTGTGCGACGGAAGGCGACTGTCTTGCGACGGATGCGAAAGCGTGACTCTCGATACCATTGCAACCCCAGGTTTGCTGGCTTTGCATGACAAATTGCTCCTGTGCCGCCGCTTGGTGTTGTTGCTGCGCCTCCTGCTGCCTCCGCAGCAATTGTTCCAAAAGCACACGAACTTGCGGCTGATTCGTCCCCTGCCGCACATCGACGCCGCACGAAGGAGCTCGCGACGGAACGCGGGACGCAGGCGACCACTGCCACTGCGGTAACCCTATCGCCGTGTTCGCGGCGTCGTTGATCGTGAGGCTTCCTTCCGATGCCATCAGCGATGACGACGATCGTCGCACGAGCTCGCTGGGCGCACACGCATCGACGGAGAAAGACTGACGCAGGCTACTAGTGGACGCGCCGGCGCCGATCGAAGCCGCCAATTCGCAGCCGCAATGTCGGCCTTGAGCGCCGGCGTTAGCAAGGGTGCACGGAACGACGGGAGCGCCGTGCTTCGCTGGTGAATCTGGTGCTGGCAGGACGAAGGACGACAGGTACGACTCTAATCGCTGCCTCTTGGTCAGGTTAGGCTGGCTCACGAGAAGCGGCTCTGCCGCGCTTGAGGCGAAAGTGGTTGACTCGAGTAGCGCGGCCGCTTGGGCCGCTTGGGCTGCTTGGGCCGCTTGAGTTGCTTGGACCGCTTGTATCCGCTGATACTGCTGCTGCAGGCGCGCGACGAGCAGTCGCTGAAGCTGCTCGCGCAGAACGTCACCGGCGGCTAAGGCTGCTAAGGGGCTCGGCAAGGCCGGCGATACCTCTCGACCTCGCTTCTGGCCGGAAGCAATGGCGGAGCCTGCGAGCGCCATGTGGATGGTGCCATGGCCTATCCATGGCTGGTGCGGTGCGTGTTTACACTTTGAGCGTGTTTCGTTTGTGTGTATCCCTTTGTTTTGGTGTGTATGTGTGTATGCATGCCCTGTGATTATAAAGGGCCTTGCTGTAGTATGGCAGGGGAGTGTTAGAGGGCCCTACGACAGCAAGGGCCCTCGATGACCTTTGACTTGGCAGGTCGGCGCCTAACGACTGAGTCTACTCTGCACCGACGCACGAGTTCGGTGGCGGTCATTAGTGACTACGGGTGACTGTGAGCTACTGCAGCGAACTCGGCGGAATCGGTGCTAGGAATGACGAGTCTTGGGGGTCGTAGGTGCCTTGCTTGTGAGGCACGCTGCTCACTTGCTATGTTGGCAGGAGTAGCGTGCACGGTGAGACATTCCGGTGCCGAGTTGGGTTGGAAATGTGCGGGGCGCGTTCACCCACCTGCACAGCACTTTCGTGTGGGTTGGGTTACTCGCAGCGCCACGCAACAATTGTGCAACTCTTGCTTGCCTATATATGTTTGTGTTTGCTTGTGTGTTTGATAATTGATATTGCAATTCTACTTGGCCCAAATGCTACTTCAATTCTCACAAAGTCCTTAGAGGCAAACGCTACCAAAACTCTACCAAGTTGCTGGCGCAACATCATTCCCATAGCAGAGACTCTCTCGCTATCGCTACGCTCTCTAATATATTCCTTCATGGTGCGGTGAGCGTGGAACGAACACGCATAGATTTCCGTCGTCGTTGATATTCGCGTTCGTATACTCGCCTTGGCGTGCGGCGTTAGTGAAGGGCGCTTATTAATCTAAGTTGAACCTCTCTTGATTTCCCTCCAGTTACGTTCTCGGACCCAAGGATAGGGCGTTTGGTAATTTATTACCACTCGTCTGAGGACCCTTGTGAGGTGACCCCGAGACGAGGGATTTAAGGAAGGGGCACTTTATTTTAATTTGTGGTACCTTATAGAGACGTCGTAGAGGATGAGTACAGAGGAGGCGAACGTGGAGGCCGGTAATTTGCGCGCCCTAGAGGAGGATCTCGTGGCTCGTCATTCTCGTGGTGAGATTAGTGATATCGAATACGAGCTAATGTTGGAGGGATTGCGCTCGCGTCGGCGTCGTGAGCACCCTTCGCCACGTGTAGAGAATGTTGAGCAAGTTGCGGGAGGTACTAGTGCGTGGGATATGGCTGTCGATGGCGGAAATAGCGATGACGAGGAGTTTGATGGGTTGATGTCGCGTGGGGTCCTGCGAGGACCAACTCGGTTTAGTACGGCTAGCGTTGGCGGTGTACAGGAGCGTGTTCATCGTGCAGCAGCGTCACGAGAGCATGCGAATGTAGGACGGCGGAGCGTTGCTGGAGGAGGAATTGCGGAAGAGTTCGATAGTGAGGCTATGCCGGGCGTTACCCCGATTGGATCGATGTCGAGGGACGAGGGAATAGCCCCCAACTATGGCTACTTCAGATTCACTCCAGACAAGATCGTTGTCACTAGGCCGTTAGAAGGACGTCACGACCTGTCGACGTGGACAGAATCAATCGAGCCGCAGCTTGAGATCGCTCAGCTAAACCGATTCATAGATGGCACCACCCCCATTCCACCAGCGCGTGCGCTTGCGCATCTCTCTTAGTTCCGCGCGATGCAGTTGCTGACATTCACCACCATTTCCCGATGCTGCTCCCCAACCGTACAGATCGCCCTTAAGGCGTGTCGCATGAAGGTCGATGCCGGCTATCAGGCATGGCAGTTTATTATGCGCACGTACATGGCGAAGGACGATCTGTACATCGGTCAGTTAGAGCAGGCGCTCACTAACCTCGAGATGGGAGAGCACGAGTCCGCTACGTCCTATTGCAACCGTGCGCAGCACATCCTAGTGAACCTGAGGATGGCCGGCGTAGATTACTCGCAGGCGTCGTACATCACTCACGTTGTGAAGGGGTTGCCGCAGCAGTACAACCTCTTACGCATGATGCTGAAGTTGCCGCAGGTTCGCAAGGAGTTGGACGAGGACACCCTCGCTAGCTACATCATCGAGGAGGAGTGTACGCTGGCGGCAGAGGGACGAAAGGACCAATTTCTTCCCCAGGCTAACCAGGTCTTTACCAAGAAGGGTAACCCCCAATTCCAGCAGACTTCATTCCCTTCCCCTCCCACTACGGCACAGCAGCAGCAGCCTAAGAATGGGGGTGGGCTTGGTGGGGAGGGGAGAAGTGGAAAGGGGGTAAGGATGGCCAGCCGAAGGGGGGGAAAGGGGGCTTCAAGGGGAAGTGCTATGTGTGTGGACAAATAGGGCATGTTGCTAAGTACTGTCAGCAGCGGGCGGATAAGGAGGCAGACTCCGGTGGAGAGGGTTCTGGAGGTAGCAGCGGAAAGGGGGGTGATGGCTCTAAGGGGAGCGGGCAGTCATCATGTGCGATGGTGAAGCCAGTTGTGGAGCAGACTCCTCTCGTTGTGCTAGAGCCTGAGGCCGGGGAGGGCTTACAGGCTGTTGCAGCTGCTGTGAAGGCGAACCCGAGCGTCGTGCTGCTTGATAGCGGATGCTCCCACCATCTCATGGGAGATCGTTCTGCCTTTGTGGAGATGAGCAGCGGCGGCAGCATTAAGCAGGTTACCGGCTTCAACGGCGCCCTTCAGGAGGTGCAGGGGCGAGGCACAGTCGCTCTTCTTGGGGAGGGGGGCAGGCGTGTCTTGGTGCCGGACGTGCTGTACGTACCAGGAGTGCAGGCGAGTCTTCTCTCTGCTGGGCAGCTGCGTGATAGTGGTGTGCAGCTGCTGGATGCCGGGGATGTGACTTTGCTGCGGGCACCAGATGGATCACTCCTTGGTCGTGCGGAGTTCAAGGGGCGTGTTCTCTGCACGAACTTCCAGCCGTGTTCGACGCAGCAGCAGGAAGGCGAAACGGTGGCACTTCGTACCTTGGCGACCGGCGTACGGTCTAAGGGGGACCTGTGGCATGCGCGTATGGCACACGTTGGTATTGATGCCATCGAGCGCACAGCGGCTCACGGGTCAGTGAAGGGCTTGGATTTGGAGAAGGGGGGCAAGTCAGGCATACCTTGTGTCTCCTGTATTGGGGGAAAGATCACTCGTCATACCTTTCCTTCTGTGGGAGAGGAGGAGGATGAGTTGCTCGGGGTGGTGCATGCTGACCTGTGTGGCCCTTTCCGTGAAGCAGCTAAGGACGGCAGCCGCTACTTCTTGGTGCTGAAGGATCGCAAGACGCGATATGTCTGGGCCTACCCTTTGGCCCAGAAGAGTGATGCGCTGGCGGCGTTCCAGAAGTGGCTCCCGATGGCAGAGCGACAGTGCAAGACCACGGTGCAGGCGCTGCGCACTGATCGGGGTGGCGAGTTCCTGGGGCACGACTTCACGCTCTTCCTCGACGGTAAAGGCATCATCCATGACCTCACATGCCCGTACACGCCGGAGCAGAACGGGATGGCCGAGAGGGAGATGCGCAGCATTGTGGAGGCGGTGCGGACGATGTTGCTGCACATGGGTGTGCAGCATCACTGGTGGCACCTGGCGTTGGCTCAGGCCGTCTGGGTGCGCAACCGCGTGGAGCACGCCTCACTACCCTCTGGTGTGACGCCGTACGAGCTCGCCTTCCGACGCAAACCTGATGTCAGTATGGTGCGTGTTTGGGGCTGCATGCTGCAGTACATGGTACCACAGTCGCAGC